ATGTGGGGATTATGCCTGTGTCAGAGTCTGCGACTAGCAGGGAAAAGTTTTGAAGAAGAAGCGCGAATGAAGAGGAAACACAAAACGACGACGAGAAAACCTTGATACGTACCGATCGGCCGCGTTACCCCTTTCGTTGCGTTTTCTCAATAATCGCGGACTCTGATATCGGCCGTATACTTAAGTCTCACCACTCCCTCCAAAATAGCAGAAAGATACGGCAGCCTATAGAGCATGGTGCAATTGAATAAGAAGAAGCATTTCCTGAATACATTGTGTTATATTTTTTATTAGACGCTATTTTGGCATTGGTGGTTTGGTTTAACCAATCATTTGCAGAAATGCTGGCGATGGACAGGTTTCAACAATGGTGTGGATATAGTAATGAACATGTCGCATGGGTATGTTTTCTTTAATCTGCTCTATAATATGTTGACGAGCATCATGATGAAATTCATTGCCTTGCGCCACCCTAAATATCTTGAATGCGCTTTTTTTCGCTTTTTTGTAGTCGTTGACTTCTTATCACCGCGGCATTCATTTTGATCGAGTACTATTAGTCAATAAAAGTTCGCCTTGCACCTACAAATTATTATAAAGTTATTTGAATCCTACGGTCGTCATGTGGGAAGTTGGTCGCGCTCGAAGCGTTCAGGCTGAAAGAAAGTCTTTTTGTTGCCTAGGCAGTGCAATCCTTTGCTGGGATGCGATAAAATTTCCCGTGAGTGAGCTAATTAATGAAAGCAAAATAAAACGGGAATGTTCAGATTAGCGGTAAATAAAGGCAATGGTATCGTGTGGGCGGCGGAACTGATGTATTTTGTTTTTGAAATTGCTGGTTTTAGAGTCCTCACTATGAAAAGAAATTGTCTCAGTCAAGCGACACCATACTCAATCAATTTGAAGAGTGAGCGTGTTGTTCATTATCGGTGAGTGTAAAATGCAAAATCTTGCAATTTGACCAGTATAAGGAACTCAACTATTTGTTTTCCCTTTTTAGTCTTCTTTTATCAACCCATCTATCTTATATTTAATCTTAATAAACAGATGCATGATGTGGAGAAAATATAGAATATATTCAGACTATCCCATTCTTTATCCATACAATACAATTATAACATATATAATAAGAAACTTACTCATATGAACCTATTTGCCCTGAACCATGACCTGCTATACAAATCCTCATCTGTAATGCACGACATATAGGGATAATTTACTGAGAATCACCCACACACAACAGAGTCTGGTTCAAAGTCAGGGTTTGTATAACCATGGGAAATCGAAGGCAACGGGTCGGGATCGAAGAGACCCTGACAGTGCTTGGCTGTCTTCAACCAAAGGAGTGGTGCCCCGCTAGATTGGACCAACGTGTATTAACAAGTTCCGGCTAAAGTTGACGTGAACAGTGCGCGTCGGCCGAGCTCCACATCGCCGAACCCCCATGCGCCGAAAGAGACGCGAGCATCGAGAGTTAAAAAAATCGTTCGCCGGGTAGTCAGACAAAGAACTATTGAAAGTTGTCTCATAATTACTGTCGCATTTCTATTCAATTTCAAATTCCTTCCGTCTAAGACCGTTTCATTGCGAAATACGTTAGTATGTTGAAGTATGCTTCAAGTGCCTTAACAGCGTGGTTTCGGAAGCGCAAGCCCTTAACGGGTTAATCAACTAGTAATAAAAATAGGTCAGTGACTGCAATCAATGATTATGCTTTACGATCCTCAAATGAACTCTGTAGCAAGGAGGACAACAGAGAAGATCAGCGCTGTGTTTGACTCAGTCTCTGCTACTGATAGGGTACTGAGCTAGTGGTCCAATCGCAACGGCAAAGACGAAACGAGCTATGAACTTCAACCTCATACTGGGCCTGCGGTCATTTTTGATGAGCGCCCCTTGCACCCTAAATTGGGAGTGCCTCCGCACGTTGCTACCAGGGTATTGTAGCAGATACCTGAGCGCAGCCGATGCACCAGCACACGCCATCAGTATGACAAGTCGACAGCCTTATGGCTGGCGACATAGAGCGGGAGCACGCCTGATCACCTGGGGAAAACCCATTCTTGGATGGCAAAAGCAGAGTCTTCCCTAATCGGTCACCGGTGGAAATGAGTCATGAGTCCACTGCGACAACAACATGCGGCACGTCTTATGGCTGCCTCGCAGCCAGGAAGCACCAGCTCAACCAAAGCCCGAACTCCGTTTTCTGAGAATATCGATCTCGTTTTATTGGATTCGCTAGGTGGCCTGGTTTGGGAACCACTTCAATGTATGAAGACAAGCATTGCTAAAGTCAGCGCGGAATAGCCCTCTTGGCTGGCTTTGGGGTTGCGAGAGAATCGTCAGAAACGTCTCAGATCCTCCTTCCTCCGAATGTACACCAGACCTCACATTGCAATGCCAACTCACCACGTTCTGAGGGAGATAGCCAGGGCCACGATACCTCATCCACCATATAGCATTGGCATCGCTCTATCGGACTATCGCCTCCCCTGCGCTGAATAAGCATCTGCCAGAGAAGAAAGTTAAAGATTGCGGTCCACCCCAAAAACGACTTCTCCAAATTCTTCAACCCCCAGTTTCCTTCATTCTGGGCTGGAAGCTTCCAAACGCCCACTAGTAAATGCACGCATATCAGTGACCATGATGGTGGTTATGCTATTAGTCAGTTGTTTCCCAGAAGAGATAAAACTTGAATAAACAAAAGTGTCGAAATTGCGACAGGAATTATGAGACAACCCATAACTGCTACCTCGAGCCGTCAATGGTTGGTAGTCTAGAAAACTCGTTCGGCTGGCTTCCTCCAAAGCCAGCCTCCTTCGCTGCTGTTCGGGGGATGGTAAGTTTCATGTTCAACTTTGTTTCGACCTATTGGAGCACGCATCGATCTGTGCGGTGCCAAACCCGCACTATTTCGCGCAGTCCGGTTTCAGACAAAGACGCGGAAAAAAATAAGTAAAGTGAGCAGTGGGTGGAATGAACCGAAGTGGACTTACTTACGATGAGCACCACATTCCCTAGATGAATGTGCTTACTACGGAAATGCTCGGCTCCAAGACGGTCTCGAGATCATTACAAAAATTATTAGGAAACATAAAAGCAGTGGGGTGCTTCGCCTATAACAAGCAAATACCCCTCGTTCTCTGAATGAGGCGACCGCCTCTATTGGTGATACTGACTAAGCACTCAACATAGCTCCCTGAAAGTCATTGCACGAAAACGTTTTTGTTAGCAGAAGTAGGGCCACTGGTAAACCTTGGCCGTGTGTCTGGAGCGGCATCCGGCTACAGCGAAAATTCAACCGCAAGATCTCATACCTGAAGCTCCGTGTTTCATATTCCTCAAGTGCCCTCTCTGATAGCTTAAATAAGCCTCTAATAAGTCGGTAAGCACTTGCAAAATCTGTGTTCAATGTTTCAATTTGTCCAATCTGATTAGTCAGTTTTGTGAGTGAATACTTTCAGTGAAAGAAACTTGATTTCAGCGTTATCATCTCGGATGGGACCGGAGCTTGTCTTTTTGACAGTACAAAGCAGAGTATTCCTTTGAGATTAGACCAGGTGAATCCATCTTCTTTTCGTTGTTTGTACTACAGTAACATGAAAGTGAAACATACATGGTGAACGTAAATTACTGAAACCCGGAACAAATACGAACTTGACGTGGCGACTGTAGACTGTTATTCTCTAGTAAAAAGTTCCAATATTCAGCAGTTGCATTCGGATTACCTACACCAATTTTGATGGAGGTAATCCGAATGCAGGGCAATGGAGGGCTTTGATTTGGGATCCTACCAAAAGTGGCGGGTAGGTTTTCCAGAATTATGAGCAGCTTCGAGCCTGCTCAGAGGCACCATTCAAGCGGCATCGTGTTTTAGTAATTTGCATATTAAAATGAGCTTTCTCAATCTTTTTAAGGATTGTAAACCATCTCTTATCTTTTCCAGAGTGTGGTTGTGGCGCGTCTAGGAGACGACATTGCACTTCCAGTGTCTGTTCACCTTCTCTATCTAGCAGCTCAGCCGGCACCGCCCTCATTTCTTTATGTGAATCAGTATATCAAAGATGTGGTAAAAAGAGAAGATATCGAGGTCATGTGACATCTGGGTAAGGTGTTATTCCTTCCAAAGGTGGCATTTCATTGACCTTGATTTCGAATATTTGCTCTCGTAAATGCCTCATTGTCAAGTGACATATTGCCTCGAATTCCAGTATTTGGTTCATAATCTCAGTCTCTACTGCCAGTAGAACTTCCTACTCCATAATGTTATGCAACGCAGCTTTCTGAGAATCGTTATAGTAGTCTGCAATGTACCTGATTATGCGCACTGCACCTGATTATTTCGTTAGTTCTCACTCGAAATCTATGCTGTTCCCTCCATCAAGGTGCAGCGAAATGTATACTACCGAACAGTACCCTCCCTTCCCTTTCTGAGCCCTCTGTTTCTGACATCTTCACTTTCTCACGAACTTGCCAGTCTTTACTGAGTAGAGGATTAGGGCCCTGCAAGGTGTTCCTCTCCTATTTAACTTCATGGTGGTCATCGCTACGCGTTAGGTACCGCCTCAATTTTGTTGAGCGAACAGTTGAGATTTCAATTTCATGTTTGTTTAGTCAAGTAAACACGTGAGCGCTTGTCGTTTGTGTAGGTTTGATCACAATTTGGGTAGGTATTTCATAACACCGGGATACCCGTCACATTTTCTAAGCAATCCTTTGAATTATGTTGAACGACGATTGGATGTTGGAGGCAAAGATTTCTTTTGGTATCTGAGAACGGACATTGATGGATATCAATCTTTGAAACTTTGGGCAGCTTTCTTTGTGTAAGGCCAGCATGCATTCAAATTGTCGCGATTACGATGACTCATGGAACCTATGCGTGAGCGGTCTAAAGAAAAGTTATACATCAAGGCGTTTTGTTGTTTGATTGACCCTGTGTGCTAATACGCTTTGTAATCGTACGTTTCATGCATGGCACTTTTGAAGTGTTTGTTTTGTTCAATTGTTAGTGTTCTCATTTCTTTTTTTTTCACGTTAGTGTTAATTTGTTTATGTACTTATGAAAGCCTGTAAGGTCTCTGCAACTTCATTGCCTTTGTTCCACGCCTATCGATGCTAGACCATCACTCGTCTCGTTTTTAACTGACTGCTATTGAATAGTGCGAAGTGTAGAACTTTTGGAATATTTCCTGTGGACGATTTGATGTATAGGCTCGCGATTAATGGTCATTTGGTCAGTCCGGCCGTTTGAAATGAGATGTAGTCCAATGTACGCGTCTTGCGACGCTGAGCTCAAATCCGTTTTCGTTATCTGCGGAACGATTCTCTGAAAGAAGTTACGAGGGATTCTTCTCTTTCTGGCTTTCTCACTCACATCTCATTATAAATGGCCGGACTAACCAGTTGAGCATTCTTTGTTAGATTTTTGTGAATCTTTGCACACGATGTGAATCTAAGCAGTCTTGATTTCTGTATTCTTACCTCTATTTTTCACTGTGTTATATTCCCGCCAGTAATCTGTACATATTTTGTTATGTTTTCACTTTCGTAGACACATCAAATTAGCTTTATAGTACACTTGTGATAACGTTTACTGATAAATTGTTAGAACCGCTCTAAATTTCCTCTTGTGAAAAAATTCTTCGAAGTCATTCGCTCAAAAGTGAATCGTTCCTTGCAATTTTGCCAAAGATCAGAGCTCGGTCGAAATTTTGAACTCGAGCGTATGGCCTTCGGCACAAGAATGTAACTTCAGCACTAGGTTAGGGCTACCGTAACCCATTTGGCGCGTCATATGAAATGCATGCTCATCTTACGCGTACCCTGGACACTGAATTTGACGCTCAAAGCATCCGCAATGGCATCTCCTTCACTATATACCCGACGTTTGGAAGAGTTCATGTCTTTACGAGTTATCACTGCGGTGAACTGATCCTTGTTCATGGTATTTAAAGGCATGCCCCAGGATCACATTGGTGTGGCTCTTGCACACGAATGTGAATGTATTGGTGCCAAGTGGGCCGGCAGTGAAGAAAAAAGGAAAAGAATCCGTCGAAAACGCTTAGGGCA